AGCTTTTAAAAAGTGTATAGACATTTGAGTTATTAACAAAATAACAATGAGAAAGCTGAGGGTGGGGGGGCGGAGCCAAGATGGCAGAGTGAAAGCAGTGACTTACTTGAGCTCTCCCCCAAACCCCTCCAAATACTCATAAAAATGGCTCTAAACAAATTCTGAAGCAGCAGAACCCACAAAAACACAAAGTGAAACAAATTTCCAGCCCAAGACAACCTGGATGATGATCAGAAAAGTGTATCGCGCCGGGCTGGGAGCGCAGGGCAGCGTGGGCACGCTGGCCCCAGCAAACCTGGAGCAGGCCTCAGAGGACAGGTTTCCAGACTCCTCAACCCACGAATGCCAAAGAAAACTTAGAAGGTCAGTGGGAAAAGTCTGTTTCTGTCGGTGGTCAGAGAGGAAGGTGGGGTCTCAGCTCCATTCCCCAAGAGCCTGGCCCTGGGTGGGGCAGCTGCTTCCCCAGCTTCCAGCCCACAAACTGAGGGGGAATCCAGTGGCTGATCAGAGAGGGATTGCAGGGATCTCTTTGCCAGTGCTGAGGCAGGAATCTCTTGCTTTGCCCGTGTGTGGATCTGGGTCACAGTTCTGGGCAGCAGTGCTGGGGTGAGGAGGAGTGCTGGCGTGGTGGAGCTTGTAGTGGCTGTGAAGAGAAAACCCTCCTCACAGTTATGGGACAGAAAGGAATACTTGTGGTCACAGGCCAGGAAAGGAATAAACACCTTGCCCCTTATCATACCACCTTGGAAGAACTGAAAATTTACAGGTCCCTACAAGTATCTCTGAAAACAACTATACAAACCCCTGAAGCTTGGGACAGTACACTCTCCACATTGGAAGCAGACTCTTACCTTAACAAGGAGTTTAAAACTCAAGTAATTGGCTGGGATCATGAGCAAGCAGCGCAAAAAGAGTCAGACTATATCATCTTACTCTGGTGACAAAGAAGATCAAAATATATAACCAGAAGAAGACAACAAAATCAAAGCTCCTACATCCAAAGCCTCCAAGAAAAATATGAATCAGTCCCAGGCCTTGGAAGAGCTCAAAAGGGATTTTGAGAAGCAAGTAAGGGAAGTAGAGGAAAAACTGGGAAGAGAAATGAGAGTGATGCAAGAAAATCATGAAAAACAAGTCAACAGCTTGCTAAAGGAGACCCAAAAAAATACTGAAGAAAATAACACCTTAAAAAACAGCCTAACCCAAATGTCAAAAGAGGTCCAAAAAGCCAACAAGGAGAAAAATGCCCTAAAAAGAAAAATTGGCAAAATGGAAAAGAAAATCCAAAAGATTACTGGAGAAAACACTTCCTTAAAAATTAGAATAGAGCAATTGGAAGACAGTGACTTTATGAGAAATCAAGACACTGTAAAACAAATCCAAAAGAATGAAAAATTAGAAAACAATGTGAAATATCTCATTGGAAAAACAACTGACTGGAAAATAGATCCAGGAGAAGAATTTAAAAATTATTGGACTATCTGAAAGCCATGATCAAAAAAAAGCCTAGACATCATCTTTCAAGAAATTATCAAGGAAAACTGCCCTGGTATTTTAGAACCAGAGGGCAAAATAGAAATTGAAAGAATCCACAGATCTCCTCCTGAAAGAGATCCCCAAAGGAAAACTCCTAGGAATATTGTAGCCAAATTCCAGAGTTCCCAGGTCAAGAAGAAAATATTACAAGCTGCCAGAAGGAAACAATTCAAGTACTGTGGAAACACAATCAGGATAACACAAGATTTAGCAGCTTCTACATTAAAGGACCGCAGGGCATGGAATATAATATTCCAGAGGGCAAAGGAGATAGGATTACAACCAAGAATCACCTACCCAGCAAAACTGAGTATAATCCTTCAGGGGAAAAATGGTCATTCAGTGAAATAGAGGACTTTCAAGCATTCCTGATGAAAAGACCAGAGCTAAACAGAAAATTTGACTTTCAAATACAGGACTCCAGTGGAACATGAAGAGGTAAACAGGAAAGAGAAATCATAAGAGACTTATTAAGATTGAACTGTTTACATTCCTGCATGGAAAGATGATATTGTAACTCATGAGAACTTTGTCAGTATTAGGGTAGTTGAGGAAAAAAATTGTATGTATGTATATATAGATAGATAGAGGGCACAGGGTGAGTTGAAGATTAAGGGGTCATATCTGGAGAATAAATTAAGGGATGAGAGAGGATGATACTTGGAGAAGAAAGGGAGAGGTAGAATGGGGTAAATTATCTCACAAAAAAAAACAGAAAAGAAAAGTCTCTCACAGTGGAGGGGAAACAGGGGAAGGTGAGAGGGAATGAGGGAATCTTATTCTCATAGGATTTGGCTTAAGGAGAGAATAACATACACATTCAATTGGGTATGGAAATCTGTCTTACCCTACAGGAAAATAGGGGAGAAGGGACAAGAGAGCAGGGGGTGATAGAGAGGAGGGCAGATTGGGAAAGAGGGTAATCAGAAGTAAATACTTCTGAGGAGGGACAGGGTCAAAAGAAAGAATGAATAAATGGGAGGGCAGGATAGGATTAAGGGAAATAGAGTTAGTTTTTCACATGTCACTAAGGAAGTGTTTTGCATAACTGCACATGTACAACCTATATTGAGTTGCTTGCCTTTTCAATGAGGGTGGGTGGGGAGGGAGGAAGGGAGAAAATTTGGAACTCAAAGTTTTAAAAACACATGTTTTAAAAAAATGTTTTCACAGGCAACTGGGAAAAAAGAAATACAGGAAATGGGGTACAGAAGTCTATCCTGCTCTACAGGAAAATAGAAGGGGAAGGGGATAAGAGAAGGGATGGGGGAGCGATAGAAGAGAAGGCATACCAGGGGAAGGGGTATTCAGAATGCATGCCATCTTGGGGTGGGGGGAGGGGTGAGAAATTTGGAACTCAAAAACTTGTGGAAGTGAATATTGAAAACTAAAAATAAATAAATTTATATTAAAAAAAAAAGATAGATTGGAACCAGAACGTAGAGTAATTTTTTTTTCAGCAGGAAGTGGAGAGCCATTGAGCAGGGGAGTGATATAGCCAGACCTACGCATTTTCCCTATTTTTATACTTCCAGTTTTATTGATGTGTTTTGTTTTTACATTACATGTATTTACAAATACCTTTTATAGTTACCTATAAGAAAAGTCTCTTGTAATAAAGTAAAACAGTTAAGTGTGCAAAAAAAAAAAAGAAAGCTGAGGGTGGGGGTGGAGAAGAGTTCATTTTCCCACAGCTAAAATGTTGTTTAAAATAGTGATTAAGTTCTGGATCAGGACAACTTAATCCTTAATAATAGTAGGCTGAATTGTAGTTCTCATAGTAGTATTGAGCCTAACCATTATTTATAATATTTATAAAAGATTTGGAAATAAACTATTAGAACACAACTAGTTTATAAGTTGGGGGATATCTCTTGTGTTTTCTAAAAGCAAGGTACATTTAAAACAGATTTTTTTCAAATAAATAGTTGTACTTTAGAATCATCCATTAAGATATTATACTAGTTTTATATAAATAAATAGTCCATAGAAATTGCCAAACTATGATTTGATAACACAAATACACTGATTGCCATATGTGTATCCAAAAACTCTGTTTACTCAATATGCAAAGTATTTGTTTATGCTTAGAATTTCCATTGGAAATAAATGTCAATGATAGAAAATGCATGGTGGATACATTTTTAGAGTATTTGAATATGTGGGTAATTCATAAAGTTTAATCAGGAAAATGTCTTAACTGGAAGGTGCCTTGGAAAATAGAATGTTAGAGCTCCCTCTTCAAATTGGGATTTCATCAGCCTCAGTAACTGACATGAATTAGCTTCAGTAACAGCTGTGTTGTCTAAGAGAGGCCGCATTTAAGAGCCAGTTTTTATTACTGGCAGGAATTCATGTTTTCTTAAACTTCAGGTGAGAGTAAACAAAAGTGGTATTAGATTTGTTCTGTACAATAACCAGGAAACAGACCAGGGAACAAGAAGAGCTGCAGAAAGGCAGAGTTCAATAGCTAACAGAAAACTTCTCAACAATGAGAGCCCCAAAACAGGGGATGGAATGTCTCAGGCCTAGTGTGTACCAGGCATTATGCTAAGCACCAGGTCTGTGGCACCCCCTACCCCCAGCAAAAACAAAAAAAAAAGGAAACAAATAGTCCCTGCCCTAAAAGAGCTTAAATTCTAATAGAGGCGATAAAACATACATTCATGAACTTCCCTGGACTATTTTGTTGTTGTTCAGTCATTTCAGTCATGTCTGACTCTTCATAACCCCATTTGGGGTTTTCTGGGCAAAGATACTCCAGTTTATTTTACAGATGAGGAAACTGAGGCAAATAGGGTTAAGTGACTTACCTAGGGTCACAGAGTTAGTAAGTGTCTTGAGGCTATATATGAACTCAGGTCTTCCTGACTCCAGGCCCTGGCACTCTATCCATTGCACTACCTACTTGCCCCTAGCTATGATCTTGGACCTGAACTTCATTTTTTTCCTCTCTAAAATAGGCATAATTATAGCCCCACTGCTAATCTCTCAAAGGGATTGTGATTAAAGGCCACATATTATTTCGATGATCCAAAAGGTAAAAATCATGCCCTCATAGAAGTGACTTCAGGCTGGTACCATTTGCCTTTCATAATCATAGCCTCTAGTCTATGAAAGCCTTTCTAACTTGATTATATCACTGACTTGCACTTATCTCCCAAGATAACCTACTAGCAGCTTTGTGCTAAGACTCCTCCCAGCTCAGGTCCCTTTCACTTCTACCTTCTTTAGTCTGCATTAGCAGTGAAATTAAACCGGTATAGTTTATCTTTTCGTGTTCCTGAGCTTTTAGTCTATGAAATCTTAAGTCTGCATCCCAATCATATTTATGTTCACCTCTTTTCTGAGATAGCCTGATAAAATTTAGCAATGAATTCCATCCACAAGTTTGAGTTTTGAGACTTGTGTTTTTGTTGATATACCTGGGAAACCTCTTACAGAATAACAATGCCAACTGGTACCTGGGAACTTGTTCACTTGACCTGAGAGTATGTCACTATCATGAAAGGAAACTCCATGCCAGTAGATATCACAGGGCAAGCGACGACCAAAGGGAAACTGGAAGAAATAGAAATAAGAAAAAATAATTAGGCTATTACTTTCATTCTGTTCCCATGAAATTTTAGTTACAGTGGAAGGTTCTAGTAAATCTGGTTGTGGGAAGTTTGAATAGCAATACACTTTCACCTAAGTTGGTCGTTTTTGTCTTAAAGAGCAGGAAGACAACCTTTTAAAACCTGGTGATATTCTGTCTTGTATTTCTTTTAATTGTTTCATCACATAAATTCTTTTCCCCAACTATTCTATCTCTTATGGAGAGGAGAGACCAATCCCGCATTTCTTTGGTATTATACCATAGAAGGCACAGGATTAACACTTCTTGAATCCATAACTAGCTAGCCTTAAAACCTCAAGCAAGTGATTTTCCCTCTCTGACCTCAGTTTACAAAGGGATATAACTAGATGCTATCTAAGGTCCTCCCAAATCTAATGTTCTAAATTCTCTGTTCTAGCATTAAATGTTAGAAGATCTTTTCTATTTTATTTTTTTTCTATTTATCTTTTCTATTATTTTATTTTCTATGTTCATACTGCAATTACATTAATATCATTTTTTTCTTTTTATGTTTCTGAAATTTTAGTCTACATAATCTTCAGTGATTTAAATCTTTTAAGTTCAACATTATCCCAAGGTAGGCTGATGGCAGCTTTAACATTCTATTTTCTAAGATTACCTTCTAGTTCTAACAATCTATGCTCTAAAATTCTGTCTTCAAAGGTCCCTTACTGCTTTTGCATTCCATTTTCACACAAGTTTGGAACACAGAAAGTTAAAGTTAGGAGGAATATTTAGTTTGTACCCTCATTTTATGATCACAAGATAATAGATTTAGAGCTAGAAAAAAAACTTACAGGTAATCTAGTACAATTCTTTCATTTTACAGGTGAGAAAACTAAGGCCCATGGAGACTGTGAGTTCATCAAGCACATGCAGCTATTAAGCCGAAGAACTAGGACTCACAACTACCTCTCCAGTCTCCCAGACTAATACTCTTTCTACTATTCTATGCTGCTTCTTCAAGCATCCCAAATTGAAAAGGAGATAAAACAGAATCACACCTTTTAAATAAATTATATTAATTTAAAAGGCATGACAAAACAAGACATATGTTATACATTTATAAGCATCAACAACTTGGCATTTATAATTTATAGCATTTTCAATCATTTTATTTTGCATCAAATGGACTGTAGGTTATTAATTCAGAAACACTATGAAAACAAGGAGAAGAAAACATATGTCATATTCTTCCAGCTGTTAAATGCTACCATTTAGGAAAGGAAAAGCAAACAAACCAATATTCAACCAGAATCACTTAGTAAGCCTTAAAGCTTAAAAGGCAAGGTGCTTAAGACTTTAGCATTTAGTATTTAGATACAATGACAGAAGATAATGAAGAACGCCCCTCAGTGAGTTTATCTGATAGAGATTAGGGGGCACAAGTGTACAAAATATAATACAAGAGAAAATGTTCTCATCCAAATTCACCCCGGGGCCTTCTCTCAACTTCTACTCTAGCTCTTCTTGTCCATTCCTTTGTACCCTCTGGACCCCATTCTATCCAAACATCCCTTAATCCTTCATCTTTTCCTCTCATGCTCCTTCATTTCTGGCACTTAGGGACCTGTTTCCCACCAGAAGATTCTACTTCTCTGGCCATCCTTTCTGGTACCAGATACTTCTCATATGCCCCTGCTCTCCAAAATATAGCCATAGTCTTCCTTGCTTTCAGAGGTTGACTCCATTCACTTTTATCAGATTTTGGGTAGCAATTATCTACTGTCTCAAAGTCCTGCAGCCTCCTTTCTTGGTTCTTTAGTACCTGAATCTCATCCACCCATGGGACTTCAATATATGTGACGATGTTCCCTCAAACACCCTAGTCTCAATTCCCCATCTTCCTCAACTCCTGTTACCTATGATTTCACTTCATCTTAGCCATATATGCGAATGTTCAAACTCTTACTGTTATCATTACCCATAAATGTTTCATTTCCATGTCCAAGAACTCTGAAATCTCTCTATCCAACAGGAAACTCCTATCATTTCATCTCTCCTTGTGCCTCATTCCTGAATCTATTCTTTATCCTCATCATGACCTCCAATTCCTCTTTCCATTAATTGTTTCCCAGGCCATCACCCCTACTCTGGCTTCAATTTCCCTACTTCCTGGTCTTAACCCTATGCTTAACCAACTTTATAGTATCCTCTACTTTGAATCCCTTGGCCCCTATTTTATCCTGGCTCATGCCTTGCCAAACCCCAACCCTACATTACCCTTCTTACCCCTTACCTTCTCCACTCCTACTATATTGGAGGAAATAAGCAACCACTTTGACAAGGCCCACTACAACTATGTTCTCTATTTTCAACTGGGCATTCAATGCACCAAGGCAATCCTTTTACTCTTCCCTAATTGACTACAAAGTATCTCCAATAGCAGTTATTCCAAACCCTCTCTCCTCAAGTCTTCCACACCATTCCCTCTTTAAAGAGGGCCTTGCTTCAAACTTTATTTAGTAAATAGGAATAGTTCCTCATGAGCTCCCATTTCTCCCCTACTCTACCCTCTCACAATCCTTGTTACTGTTACCCCACAATTCTCTCTTCCATTACTCCAGTCTCTGATCAAGACATGACTGTTCTCCTCTCCAAAGCTGATCCTTCTATTTACACCCTTCCCACCAATCCACTCCCATCCCTTTTGGAGTTAGCCCCTTCAATAATTCTCTCTTCTCCTTTTACCCCTCTTTCCCTTCCTCCCCTTAACTACCCAGTTACTGGCTCCTTCCCTTATCCTAGCAAATATGCCCAGGTTTTCTCCATTAAAAAAAAGTCAATCACACACACCCCCTCAAGCTATCATCCTATATCTCTTCCCATTGCACCAACAAACTCCTCAGAACAGCAGTCCATATGACATCTTTTTGGATATGGCCAACATGGAAATTTATTCTACTTGATTTGTACAAACTTTTACAAAGGTTTCATTTTCCTTCTCTTTTTTTCATGGGAAGGGGAAGATGTGAGGTGGAAAAATTTTTCAGTTCTAAATTATGTGATCCTGAGAATTTAGAATTAAATTATTCATTCATTCAACAAACATTTATTAGGTGCCAATTGTGTGCATTGCAGCCTTTGTTAGATACTAGGGGATATACAAAGAAAAGCCATTACACTTCAAAAACTTACAGTCTAGTAGGGGTAGAGAAGACATGAATACAATACTATTACATCACACTTATATTCTAAAGTGCTTGAAGATCAGAAGAGAGAGATGCTTTCTAAATGGAGTTATCAGGGAAGACTTCATGAATGAGGTGATATTTGAGCTAGGCCTTTAAGATGGCCAGGACAGAGTCCTTTGCAACACCTATAGTTAGTGAGCATGTCCTGGATAAGGATCCAGCAAAGGAGACAGAGAAGTGGTCAGATAGGTAGAGAAGAACCAGGAGAGAGTATTATCCCTAAAACCTAGAGAGAAGAGAGCATGAGGGAAAAGAGGGCAACCAACAGTGTCAAAGGCTGCAAAGAAGTCAAAAAGGATGAGGATTACAAAAAAGCCATTGGATTTGGCAATTAAGAGATCATTAGTAACTTCAATGAGAGCTGGTCAGTGGAATGAGGAGAGTAGATGCCATATTGTAGAGGGCTAAGAAGACAGTGAAAGGAACTAGAGGTACTTATTGAAGACAGCCTTCTCAAAGAGTTTAGCCACAAAAGGCAGAAGAAATAAATGAGAATAGTTAGCGGGGATGGAAAGCTCAAGTGATGGCTTTTTAAGGATGGGGGAGACATACACATGGTTATAGGCAGTAGGGAAGCAGCCAGTCAACAGGCAGAGATTAAAGATCACAGAGTGGGGATGATAGAGGAAGTGATCTGCTAGAGGAGACAGAATGGAATGGTATCACTTGTACAGGTACAGGGATTGGTCTTGTCAGGGAAAAGGGCCGCCTCTTCATGTGAAACAAGGTAATTAGAAAAAAAGGAGATAATGGCAGAGGCATTAAAGTGGTGTGAGATAAGGAGGAAGGGAGAAGAGGGAGCACTCCGTGAATAGTCTTAATTTTTTCAGTAACATGAGGCAAGGTTCTCACCTGAGAAGATGAGGGAGGGGTAACAATGGGGAGTTTGAGGAGGGATGAAAAGGAAGCACCACTGTGGTGAGCAGAACAGTAAATTAATTAGGGAGGTATAAAAGGAATGCATAGTAGCTGTGAAGGTCCAGTCAAGGTTACGTAACAAATTTATAGTGAACCCAGTTAGAACATTTGCATAATTTTGTTCACTTCCATTCAACAGTACATATGTAGGAGTAAAAGCAATAAGTAGATGGTGGGTGTGATCCAAGGCTGAGGCTTGGCAAGGCACAATCAGTGATATGGTAAAGGGGTAAGATACTCAAGAGAAGAGGACAGTGTACTTTTGAACTTGTTCACCAAGGGATCAAAAAAGTAAAAGGACAGTGTAGCTAATAAAAGGGTGATGGTCTGAAAGTAAATGAAGGGACTGAAGATTTGGAGGTCACAGTATAGATGAAAAGCAGGGTTTGGGATTAGAAGGGGAAGAGAAAGGTAGCAAGTCATTAGATTGTGATCAGATAAAGGAATTTGAGAGTTCATGAACATGAAAATGGCACACTTGTAGGGGATGGCAAAATCAAGAGTATAAGCATCTTTATGGCTGAGGTGGAGTGGAGGAGCAGGTTAAAAAACTAGGAGCTTAGGGTATTTGAGGGAGTGTCAACATGTATACTGAAGTCCCCCAGTACAAGGGCAGGATTTCGGAAGGAAAGAAAAATTTGTGAGCCAGAAATTGAACTCTGTTGAGGAAGGAAGAGGAGTGTCCTAGAAGTCTTTAGATAACAGCTACTAAGATTTTGGTATAGTGGGAGATGCAGAGAGTATAAATCTAAAAGGAGGAAAAGTTACTGAGTGATGGTGGTGAGGGAAAAACTTGGAAGAGGACAGGGAACAAATAATATTCCAACTTC